CCTCCAGGTTAAGCAAATGTGAATTACACATGTACAGTTTGATTTCCAAAATACTGAAAAACAAATAACAGCACCAACTGAAAGTTGGTGAAGAGGTTTCACTTGAATAGACATAATTTAACCGTTAGTAATGTCTGCGAAGCATCGTCAATATCCTTGTTCTCGGTTCCCGATGGACTCAAAAAATTACGAGAAGAGGGTTTCTAATTTCCTTTTATCTTGAGTGGCAAATCAACAATGGCATTTTTAACAGGCCAGTAATGGCATGTACTGAATTCCTGGTACACAGCTGGGGGGCCAGAAGGACTTGGATTTCGTCACTGTTTTTCAGACAGACTTAACCAGAGTTTAGTTTTGTCTGCGGTGCAGGCTACTTGAATTGAAGATTTTTTTTCACAAACTCAAACGTTAAATCTACACTACATTTTTCCATTTTACTGACTCTGGGAGTGAAAAACTGAGGATTTCCATCTCAATTATCATAATCATATATAACTTAATGATGTATTGATTTGTTGTGATTATTGTGGGCATCATCATCACATTTATTATTTTCAGCATCTTCTTGTTACAATTAACAAGTACAGTCAGTACTATTTAGAATAGAATTGGTGAAATATTATTTTGATACCAATCAAATGAAACTTTTTCATATTTAACTTCTCTTAATTATCATAACTCTTTTATTGTGTGTTCAGTGGTAGTTTAGAAAAGTGCTGTAGAGGTTTTGACCTGTGATGATATATTTAGCACAAGCCTGTCCCATATTAGAGCTTGCTATATCAGATTTCCTAGTGTTATTGGTCAACAAATTGTGCACCCTAAAATTTGATGACTGGCAATCATGATTTAGATATATGTTTTAGCTACTCACCAATATTTTGCCACATGTTGCCTCACAGTTAAGTATAAAATGAATGTGAAACAACAGGAAGGTATTTTCATTCCACATTAATTTTTGTCTGTGAAATCTGTCTCAAGGAAACCAATAAGTAACCCTCCATTAAGCAGTCATTTGCCGGTTTCTTTATTTTGTTCTCTTTTGAGCAGTAAACATGTATATTTAGCAGTCAGTTGGCTAATCAAATTTCTGCGAATAATTTCTGTAGTTGTGGAATGTTTTATTATGAGATCACTGTTTTCTTGTTTTAAACAGTTTCAACAATTTGGAGGGGTTTAAATCTCATATAGACAGAGAAATGTTGCAGATTACTATTTAAGTACATTTTTTTCAGGATTTTCCTGTATTGATCACTTGATTTGTGCAAATTTATGTGGACACTTTT